AAAGCGAACCATTCATAGTTTGCCCATGTTACTGTTTTGAACTAAGTCAGAGTTAGATATATCTTATATCCATGAAAACTTCTGGAGCATATTGGTATCCGACATAGAAAATTCCATTGCAACCTTTCTTGTCAGACAACTTGGCAGAAGGTTTATTTCAATGTCTTGTTCCACGTATAAGAAAGAGTTGTCAATAGAAATTATATGAAACCTGTCGCAAGCAATATCTACTGTTGTTGAAGAACCTTCTCCAAAACTCACCTACGTTTCCATAAAAAACAGCAGTTGTATATTCGTAAGTTCCAGGAACTATTTCTGACCTTCTAATGCATTGTCGCATTCGTTATACCATTCGAAACATTTCCATTCATAGCATCCAAAACTGTTGGCGTTATATTCTGAGCGGCGTACATTTCATATGAGTAAAAAATATAGAATAGTTGGATTTATATGTCATAATAGAACCCACTCCGACCAAGCTTTACTTTCTTCCTGACTGAGTTTTTAACTCTTCTTTTCCTTCATTGCCCTCTGCTTGAAGTTGTTGCATCTTTGCATTATGTTCATCTAGTATGTTGCAAATTTTCCATGTCCTTTTTGCCTTTTGGCTCTGGTCGCCCCATCTCAGGTAACCTATATCCTAGAAAGAGTTTGTCATAGTCTGTATTTGAGTCGTCGCTTATTGTTTGCATGACTCTGTCCTGAGTTTCCGGTTCAAGCTCTTCAAACAGTGCCTGTCCATATGAATAAGCTCGTTTCCAAATATATGTTTTTGTAGCCATTCTGGTTTTCTTCCATGTTACCAACTATATCTTTTGAATGGGAAAGCTTCTACCCAATCTTTCAGTCTTGCGTCGTTTATTTCTGTAGTTGGTTTTATTTTGTCAAGGAACATGTTTTTCAATACTAACATTTCATTTGGTACTGTCCATTGAGTTTTCTTAAATATTCATCCCTTCTCGGTTCATTGTCTGCAAAGTAAGATTTTATGACATTTTGCAAACTTTCGTTTGCAAGGTCATGTACAATAGGTTCTCTTCCTTCTATCTCCCTAACTTTCTTTTCTAAAACTCTTCACCAAATATACCATCTTTATGGTTCTGTGTAGTTCTTTGAGATAAATGTTCTAGAACGTCAGGTGTTATATTTCCATCAGCCATGTTCATTTCATACTGGTTCAAAATATCTGCATCTTTCATATCTTTCAATGGCATTAAAAGCCGCGCTTAAAATACCAGCTATATCTGGTTCACCATTCACTTCCATTGCGTCTACAACTTCTTGGAATTGTGGTTGTAAGTTTATGAACCACCTATCCGGGTTAGCTTTATGACCCCATCTCATTGTAGTTCCATCGTCTGCAGAAACAAAAGTAGGTTTGTTTCCATCTTGGTTAGGTTCTGAATGAACTTTAAACAATGTTTCATTTCTATATGTTTTCTTGAAATTTAACCTTTTATCTTCACCGAGTTCATCCGAAGATTGAACGTTAAATGCTCGCTAAGTAAAAAGGGTTGTTGTATTGTGTACATTTTTTTTCAGTTCTTCCATTCTATGCTGAATATTTTCATCTGGTGTTGAGTCTTTTGTATGTCGGCCAAACAATTTTTCGATATTCTTCTACTATGTCAGCCGAATCTTTCTTAGACTCTTGGAAAGATTCCATATTCACCTCATGCTCTTGTTGAGGGTCAAGATTTTTCGGCTGTTCCAAATCTTCATCTAGTTCTGTGAAGTTAGTTTCCAAAGGAGTGACTTGTTCGTTTCCTTCAGGCTCTTCTAGCTGTTGTTGCTGAACTATTTCTTCCATGTCTGGTTGTATCTGAACTAGTTCTTCCTGTGAGTTCTTGTACCTCATCTGCTGGCATTTCATATATTCCGAGACCGTTTTCAACAATTTCCCTATCTACGTCATCCGCATTCATAAGCCTTTGTTCTTTCGTTCCGTCTCTATTTTTTACGCGTTTCATGACGAAAGTTGAATTGTCATTTAGCTCTGACATCAAATATCTCGGAGTAAATTCATCCATGTCATTTGGATGATATGCTATTAAATCATATCCCTTAGCGAGCTTGTATTTTCCAGGTTTGAGATTATATCCGTTTTGGTGCTGAGCCATAAAGCTAAATAGGTTCGGGTCAGTATTCCATCCTTGAACTTTCCAATAGCTTCTTTATATCTGTCACTAAAGTCAACAGTATCTGGGAAACCACACTCTTCTTTAAGCATTTTTAAGAATTCTTGGTTTCCTTGTTCTCTACTTCTTTTATGTCCTTGCTCTGTTTGTGGTTGTTGTGCTGGTTGTGGAGGTGGTTGCTGTGCTGGTTGTTGTTGTTGTGCTGGATTTTGAACTGTTGGTTGTTGTGCAGGGTTTTGAACTGTTGGTTGTTGTGTTGGTTTTGGTGCATGCCTGTGTCTATGTCCATGTGACGATGTAAATGTTTTAGGTAGTCCTGGTGCAGGTGCTTCTCTTGGAGGGTTTGGTGTATATAAGTTCCACCAGCTGGCACATATGTTCCATCTGCAGCGTAATGTCCTACCTGACTTTTCGTTCTTAAGAAAGCATTTACTAGGTCTGTTTGGTCTGTTGTAACTCTTTTTCTTGACTTTTCACAACAGTTGCTCTAACGGCGTCATAGGCACTTTGAACTGCCTGTCTCGTTGCTGCATCTGTTATTTTCGTCATATTTTGTGCTACTTCTTTTAACTCTTTGTCGAAACCTTCAGACTTCAGTTTCTTTCCAGATGAGAAGTCGTTCACTTGTTTCACCTTACTATGAAGAGCTTCGAAGGCGTTTCTTAAAGTCAGCATTTGTTAAAGCTTCATTTGAACTGTCTTCATCCGCTTGTATTTTTGTCCTTATTGACCCTATAAGCTGGGCTGCTTTAGCGTTGGCTTGGGCATCTAACCAGTCATTGTTAGCTTTTATATATTCTGAGCTTTTCATTGCCTTTTGCATAGCCGCGTCGTTATTTTTACTTTCTTGTGCTAAGTTTTCATACTGTACGGTTTGGTTTTGCAACTGTAAAAGTTTTTCTGCCTTTACATTTGCTTCAACTTCTTTTTTATACTCATCGCTATCCATATATGTCTTCAGGGCTTTTTGTTTTATCTCTTCATCTTTCAGTACTTTATATTGAGTAGTATGGTTTTTCAAATTTATAACATCTTGTTCCATTTTTGCTACTTCTGCTGCTTTTTCTGACACTTTTTTCGCATATTCCTCTGTACTTAGTTCTTTCAGTTGTTCTTCTTTCTTCTTTTTCTCTACGTTTAACTCATTGAGTTTCTTTGTGTGTCTGTCATATTCTAGTTTCTTTTCGTTTTCACTTATTTGTTTCTGTATGTCTATGTTTGACTTTTTGACATCTGTTATTTGATTTTTGAGTGAACTCAAATTCATTTGACTTTGAGGGTTATAGGCTGTTCCGTCTGCAGCTCCACCATAGCCTGCCATTTTCGCTAAAAGTGCCGCTCTTAAACCTCCACTCTGTGCACCAAGAACTCGGTTTAAAAGCATAGGATTTGCTTGACATTTGTTGCAACATAGTGGGGTCATTCAGCATTTGTTGTTGCAACTGTTGTTGTGGTGTCAGTTTTACTATTGGATGTTTCAATGCTCTCTTCCTCTTACGTATATTCTTACGTAGCTTACGTGGCATTTTAAGTGAAGTTAAAAAGAGGCTTTTGACAGATGTTTTATTGTGACTTCTTCGTAAAGACTTTGTTGAGATTTCTTCGTAAATGAGTGTAAATGACCCAAAAATATATTTTAGGGTAGAAGGGTATATCTAACCTCTTTTCTAACCTCATTTCTACCCTCTTGAATTTTCATGAATTTCTTCGTAAAGACTTTGTTGAGACTTCTTCGTAAAGACTTTGTTAAGACTTCTTCGTAAAGACTTTGTTGAGATTTCTTCGTAAATGAGTGTAAATGACCCAAAAATATTTTAGGGTAGAAGGGTATATCTAACCTCTTTCTAACCTCATTTCTACCCTCTTGAATTTTCATGAATTTCTTCGTAAAGACTTTGTTGAGACTTCTTCGTAAAGACTTTGTTGAGACTTCTTCGTAAAGACTTTGTCAAGACTTCATCGTAAAGACTTTGTTGAGATTTCTTCGTAAATGACCCTAGTAGTATATTTTTGGTGTAAATTTCATGAAAATTCAAGAGGGTAGAAAAGAGGTTAGAAAAGAGGTTAGATATACCCTTCTACCCTAAAATATATTTTTGGTGTAAATTTCATGAAAATTCAAGAGGGTAGAAAAGAGGTTAGAAAAGAGGTTAGATATACCCTTCTACCCTAAACATTATTTTTGTCTGATTTTACGAAGAAGTCTTGACAAAACATTTACGAAGAAGTCTTGACAAAACATTTACGAAGAAGTCTTGACAAAACATTTACGATGAAATCATGACAAAACATTTACGAAGAAGTCTTGACAAAACATTTTACGAAGAAGTCTTGACAAAACATTTTACGAAGAAATCATGACAAATTCAAGAGGGTAGAAAAGAGGTTAGAAAAGAGGTTAGATATAACCTTCTACCCTAAATTATATTTTTGGTCATTTACACTCATTACGAAGAAGTCTTGACAAAACATTTACGATGAAATCTTGACAAAACATTTACGAAGAAGTCTTGACAAAACATTTACGATGAAATCATGACAAAACATTTACGAAGAAGTCTTGACAAAACATTTACGAAGAAGTCTTGACAAAACATGAAAACATATATAATTTGTGAAAAGCTCCTGGAAGACCCGTATATAAGAACTTCATTTATACTAAACATCTTCGGGGGCTAGAAGGCACGAAGTGCCTGGAAGCCATCCCCCAAGAAAAAAAAACTTCATTATACTCATTCATCCTCAGGGCTAGAAGGCACGAAGTGCCTGGAAGCCCCACTCCCTTTTTTTTTTTTTTTTTTTTTTTTTTTTTTTTGAAAAACATCTCTAATTAATCAACAATAAAAAATCAAATAATATTTTTTAGAAAACATAAAGAGGAGGGTGTACGCCTCTCTCGAGCTGTTCTATTCTCTTTCTAATAGGCTCAATATCGGCCTCTCTATCCATATCGAGCGTCATTCTCAGTCTCTCTTCATTCTGGTTCGCGCAGTCTTCTTCTCTGCTATGTTTCTCTACAAGAGAAAGATGCATATTCTCTGCGCGAGTAAGAGCTCTCTGTTTAGCTTGTTCAGTCTCATCTTGAGACATTTGATCTGTAATTCGCTTAAGATTCTTTGCTTTTTCGAAATCTCCGATTTTGGCTGATTCTTTTTGTTTCCTTTTTTCGTTGAGTAATACGCCTGATGGTTTTTGGAATGGCATTAGGAATTTGTTTGTTCCTAAATAATTTGTCATATTCTCAATCTCTTGTTCCTGACGAGATTTTCTTTGTTCATTTATTTTCTGCCTGTCATTATGGAATGCTTCCAGGCGCTCATCATGCTTCTTATTAAGCATGTCAATTTCGCGTGTAGCACTGGCTATTCTTTCGCTAGTAGTTACGATTGGAGTTGGTGGCGCTGCTGGAAATGCAATTCTGTTAAGCAAACGTATTGCTTTATGGAACTCTTCACCACGTTGGTAATCATCTTCTTCAATTGCTTTATCCAATTGTACTTTAGCAAACTTAGATAAAGGATAAGCCATTGATTCATCCTCAAGTTTCTTGTTTTTCATGAAATCGTCAAGTAATTCTTGCATATTTGCTGAGTTAGGAGCGTCCTGTTGCTTCTGAGTTACCTTCTTCTTTTCAACAGGTTTATCAACGGGAATTACTGGAGCACGGAGCTGAGTCACCATAATAGATTTACCATCGGAGACTATGTAGGTCTTATTTGGAGAGCGAGTTTGTAACTGGATTAAGTGGGACTGTCTTGGTGGTGGAATTCTTTTAGCGCTAGCCGGAAGTGAACTATTTTTACGTGTCGTGCTTTTTGACATTGGTGGTAATTCAAGCTGGAACGTTGTATCTCTTGATTCAGTTGTTTTCGGCCTTCGACGGATTTGGAAAGATGTAGTTGATCGTTTTTCTTTATCTTTAGGCCTTGGGACGTGATAGAAATCTATCTCATCATCGAAATTAATACAGTCATAATCATCATATTGGGAAGTATCTTGCATGAATGTCGTATATCAGAAATTTTGAATTTTTGAGCAACGTTGAAAAGTGACGAGTGTAACAATTGTCATTTCCTCAAAATATTATATAACTAGCAGCAACGAGAAAAGCAATACGAATTCCTTTTCAGAATACAAAACATTGATAATTCATGTAAAATGTCACATTTTTACGATTGCACCAATTTGGATTCTATAAAGATAAATGTTTAATTATTAAGCTAATTAAAATTGAATTAATTCAAAAAAATCTTTCAAAAATATGTACTATCAGATTAAAGTGTGGTAGTCAATGTTGCGTAAAATAATTAATTTGAATGTTTTTGAATCCTATTAAATTTTGAAAGATGAATACAGTTTGTAAAACAATTCAAGATCTTTATTCTATATAAAAGAATAGATATCTGATTTCAATTGTAAAACAATTTTTTTATATTTGAGAACTACTTTTCAATCAGCGGTTTCACACATAGTATTGGCCATCGCTAATTATAACAATAAAATTCCATTTATATAAATTTTAGCGATGAGAAAAAATGTTTTACAGTTTTTATAATGCATTATCTAGACCTTAACATGTATCTCCATGATGTAACTTATTTAAATTGTAACTTATATTTATTACAAATGACATTTTTAATCAATTTTATATCAAATTTCGAAATGGTTCTTCATAACTCTTATATATTATTCACTCAAATCCATTCTGGTAGATTTATTGATATTTTTAAATAATTACAATAATCTTACAAATGGGATTGGCTATTAGAAATCATTATGCTTTCTTGATTGGATGGAATAGTAGTATTTGATGTAAGATGACATTTATATATTCAAAATTAGTTTATTTGTTAAATTCGCAGTAATCTTCACAGGATTTCATTATATATGATCCAAATAGTTCGTAAGCTTGTTTTATACCCTAGACTATCTAACTGAGAAGAAATTGGGCATATTTGCAGTAGTAATTTTTGTAGTAATTACCAATAACTAATATGAAGATTTATTTTAATTAACCAAACTCAAAGGGTTGACTAGCCTATATATACTTTGATCAAGCCATATGTTGAAACCAAATCAAATTGAAAAGGAGTATCATTTTCACGATTGCTTAGATTGAATGAAAAACGATGAAAAAAAATTGAAATTGAATTGTCAAAAATTTTAAATGGAAATCAATCGAGAAGCTTTTATTGCAGAAATCAAGAACATAAATTCCTCTGAAAATGGGCCAATTATCACTGATTCCAAAAGTTTGGATTTATTTTTGCAAGAATTTAAAATTGAAAAAAATCTCGAGCTACGATTCATTGCATACTGTCTCAAACTCAAATGCATTAACTTTGAAACTTATGCAGAAGAACTTTTACAAAAAATTCTCGACTATGAAAAGGAATCTAAAGAAATTCTTGGTAATTTTTACGACGATCCTCTTAAAGCAACTCCTGAAAACGTTTCTAAGGTAATAACTGCAGATGTCCCCCGCAGTTTTGGATTTTTCAATGAAATCTGTAAAGATATGGGGGTTAAATCTTTAGGTGAAGAATACGGACATTTAGCATCAAAAAGAATTCATTCCATTATAGCCCTTAAGTACCCAAAGCTTTCTTACATTCAAGGATATGATCGTTATACGTTAATTTGTTTTTCTTTAGCATTAAAGATAGTTCAATCATTAGGAATCGATAACCACTATGCTGAAGGTCTATGTTTTGATCTTATTATCAAATTCATTCAGATTTCTTCTTTTAATATAATCTTAGAACATCCCCACGAACAAGTCATGTTTACCTTGCTTGATAACGGAATAAGAGGACTCAATCCCCGGCTGTATGATTCGTTTAAAGAATCTCACATGTCATCTTTGTATTTTGCTATGAGTTGGCGCCTTTTGTTCTTTACGCATGTTCATCCAACAAGGCATGTATTGTTAATATGGGATAGATTTTTGCTTCATTCGAATCCGAAAACAGAAATTGATTTATTTTTTGTTTCTCTTGCTTTAGCTCATATAAAGCAGGTTATTAGTGTCCTTGATAACCAAGAATTTGGAAGTACTACTGTTGAACTGATTCAGGCTTATCAAAATTATGATTTAAATCAGATTTTTGTCGATGCAGATGAATTCTTTAACAATCCACCTAAATACAATGAAGACCAGGAGAATGATCTTGCTGCAACAGCAGTTGATGTATTGCAGGCAACTGCTAAGTTTGCAACTAAAGTTGCTGTCAAAGTAGGAATTAGAATTTTAAAGAAATATATTGGAGAGCAAATCAACGGAGCTCGTGCCCCTGTTGCTAATAATGCCAATGCTGACTCTCCTTCTGATTTTACCGCTGATATTTTATCTATTCTTAGTGATTTGTATATGTAAATTTTCTATTATAAATTTTGATTCTTTTTGACACATCCTAACTTGAGATATCATTTCATTGAACAAATTGCTACATATGAAAGAATCAACGAAGCAATAAGCAAGCCCATGGAGGATTATAGTGCCTAATGTTAATAATCTCATTGACATTGTTCATTATCAATGACCTGGGAATTACGAGTAATTCCATAGACAATAAAATCTTGCATGGACTGATCTAATACGTTTCTCAAATATTTAGAAGTGTAACCTTACTGTGAAATCTATTTAATAATTCAAATACGTTTTCAAAATAGAATTTACTCAATACCTAACATTGTTAAAAAAATCTTCTTGTTATATTTGATGATATCTTTGGCCTTTCCTAAATTCAGCATTAAATGAGATTAGATAACTGGAAATTCCCCAGCCATTATTGAATATGAAAATTCCACTTTATTAATAACTTAAAGAGTTTTAAAAAGTGGGAATTGAATTTAAAATAATCATTTTCATACCATATTAATGATAAATCAAAACAAAAAATTTACATAAACAAAAATTATTTTTATATACATAAAAAACAAAACAAAATATTTTATTGGATAAAGAACAGATCATTTGGAGGATTAAGTGGGGTTTCATCATTATCATTGTCATCGAAATCTTTGTTGAACGGATCAGGATCATCCTCAGTTAACATTGATGTTGCATACAGAGGATTTTCAGTAGTTACAGCCACATCATTGAAATCATCTAAAACAGTTGCTTCTTTTTCATCAGACCAATCTAAATGATCAGATTCAACATCGTGTTTCTTCGAAATTATGAAGAACATAATGAGAAGAGCAGCCAATATAATCAATCCGATTACAGCACCAACAATTGGCCAAATACTAAACTTGTTTTTCTCCAAAGTATTTGTATCTTCTCTTATGTTATTATTCTCTGATGGAGAAGGAGATGGAGCTGTTTGTTCTGGTGTAGATATTATTACAGGCGGTTCTTCTGTTGGTATAATAATTGGCTTTTCTTCTGTAGCTGGTGAATCAGTTGGTTTTTCTGTTGAAAAAGCGGTTTTGAAAGGAGTTTCAATAGGTGTAAAATGTAAAGTATTGAATGGTGCTTGATGTGCTGTCAAAAAAGGTGACAAAAATGGAGTTTGATGTGCAGTTTCGAAAGCAGTTTTGAATACAGTATTAAATGGAGTTTCAAAAGCTGTTTCGAAAGCAGTTTTGAATACAGTATTAAATGGTGTTTCAAAAGCTGTTTCGAATGGTGTTGGAGGGATGTATCCAACAGGAGTTTCAGAAGCAGTTGAAAAAGGTGTTTGAAAATTAGTCATGAAATTAGTAGAAAATGGAGTTTCATGAACAGTTACATATGGTGTTGTATGAGCAGTTGAAAAAGGTGTTTCATAATTAGTCAGGAAATTAGTAGAAAAAGGAGTTTCATAATTAGTCATATAAGGTGTCATGAAATTAGTTGTAAATGGTGTTTCTTTTTCTGTTTGAAATGCAGTTAAGAAAGGAGTTCCAAATGGAGTTCCTACAGGAGTTAATGCATTTGTTTGTTCTGCTGTCGAGAAAGGAGTACTAGAAGCAGTTGAAAATGGTGTTGAAACCATTGTTTCGAAAGGAGTTACGAAAGCAGTTTCAGCATTTGTTGGAAACTGTATTTCAGGAGAATGTGGATGAAGAGTGTATGAAACATATCCAATAATATTCGGAGTATTCGGATATGTTGTTGCTGGATCTGGTTTTTGGTTGATTTCTGTGTTATCATCATAATTTATTGGATCATAATTAACTGATGATTCTTCAACATTTGTTGTTGATGAAAATGTATCAATAGGAAGATCTAAAACATCATTTTCTGTGATGCAAACACCATCAATAACATGGAATTGTGTTCCCCATTGTGACATTGCAAGTGATGATGGCTTAATGTCATCAATTGCTATTGAATCTTGTTGATTTGTTGAAAATATGTCTTGGAAAGATCTCCATTTCGCATTTCCTTGGAAGAGAATGTCATTACCAATGGATGATTGTGAGTTAAATGTGTTTTTGTTGGGATAATTCGCTACATTTTGTTTGAAACAACAATTTTGTGTCGTAAGCTGTTTTGATTGGTCGACACAACTGAATATAATGGCTCCACCACCTGATGGAATGCCTTTCTCCTTGTTTATCATCTTTGATTTGAAAATATTTATTTCATTTGGAATATCTGGGAGAACATTGCATGAATTGCCTATGAACTTGCATTGATCGATAAATGCAGTGCATTCTGAGAAGGCAATTGCGCCACATGGAGCTTTTGCGCTACATAATTCAAAAATTACGTTATGTAAGTAAATATTGGTAGATCCGTAGACATAAGCAGCACCATACAATTCGTTTGATTGGCACATGTAAAATTTGGAGTCAATAATTGAGATTTCGTTATAAGGTGAAATTACTGCGCCGTCTGAACCAATTTCTGAGATTTGATCTGATGAAATAGAGTATAATGATCCAGCTCTATGATATGCTGTATCAAATGAGAATGTTGCTTGTTCACCATCGATTCTGGAATTAACACAAGCGATTGAGCCTCCAGAAACAGCTTTGTTGGATGTAAACGTGGATTCTAAGATGTATAAGCAGGATTGCTGTGTATAAACGGCTCCACCTGATCCAAACGTTAAAGCTACACCGAATGCAAAACAGTCTTTGAAGCTTGATTCTACTACTTTTACAAGACATTTCCAATAGCTTCTGGATGCTCTTGTTCCTGTCACGGCTGTTTGAAATGTAATTGTGGTGTCGATTCTGCCATCTGCTTCTAAATTCATTTGAACTAAGTCATAATCGACAAATTGCAGTTCCTCTGCTTCTTTTCTGATTGATCCTGGAAGATTCTGCTGGATTTTATCAGAAGATAGGCAGAGATGGAGAAATAAGCATAAAAACATTTTTGAAATTCTGAATTTTTTACAAAAGAATGTTCTTTTGAAAGATCATTGGCTCTTCTTTATTAGATGAGCCGGATTTTTGATAAATTAGAACTCGAGGTAAATTTCAGAAAAAAAATTCTAATGGTGTACCGGAACCATAAAATTGAATAGTTTATTTAATTTTTGGAATGAAGATCATCGTTTTTTGCTCGTAATTAATATATACATATGTCTGTACAAAATCGAGAAAAACATTGCCGTGCGGTAATATAGGGTCAAAAAAATCGCGCCTCGGCGGCTCCGCCGCCTCGGCACTATTAAGTGCGCATTATATTTAATATGTCCTTCTTTTTTTTTCTTTTTTCTTCTTCTTCTTTTCCTTTCCTTCTTCCTCTCCTTCCTCTTCTTTCCTGTTATATACGAAAACGATAAAAACGGTTTGACAGAAAAGTGACAACTTTACGTGTCAAAAATATAAAAAGTGATATTTTATTCATCATTATCTTCTTCATAATTTATTTCATATTCTTCGTCTTACCAACAAAAGATGGGAATGTGAACAATTGCGGGCAATTTTTAGCCATTTTGGCTTGGAACTAGAGCCTGCGAGGTACATGGATAGTATCAGTACCTCACAGGCTCTAGTTCTCTATATGGCGCCGAGAAATTTTGGTGAAATGTGGTCGCATTTCACCAAAATTTTTTCGGCGCCATAGGATGAATTGGAGGGTGAGAGATATTATTTCATACAATACTACTCTCACCCTCCAATTCCCAGCCAAAATGGCTAAAAATTGCCCGCAATGTGAACAATTGCGGGCAATTTTTAGCCATTTTGGCTTGGAACTAGAGCCTGCGAGGTACATGGATAGTATCAGTACCTCACAGGCTCTAGTTCTCTATATGGCGCCGAGAAATTTTGGTGAAATGTGGTCGCATTTCACCAAAATTTTTTCGGCGCCATAGGATGAATTGGAGGGTGAGAGATATTATTTCATACAATACTACTCTCACCCTCCAATTCCCAGCCAAAATGGCTAAAAATTGCCCGCAATGTGAACAATTGCGGGCAATTTTTAGCCATTTTGGCTTGGAACTAGAGCCTGCGAGGTACATGGATAGTATCAGTACCTCACAGGCTCTAGTTCTCTATATGGCGCCGAGAAATTTTGGTGAAATGTGGTCGCATTTCACCAAAATTTTTTCGGCGCCATAGGATGAATTGGAGGGTGAGAGATATTATTTCATACAATACTACTCTCACCCTCCAATTCCCAGCCAAAATGGCTAAAAATTGCCCGCAATGTGAACAATTGCGGGCAATTTTTAGCCATTTTGGCTTGGAACTAGAGCCTGCGAGGTACATGGATAGTATCAGTACCTCACAGGCTCTAGTTCTCTATATGGCGCCGAGAAATTTTGGTGAAATGTGGTCGCATTTCACCAAAATTTTTTCGGCGCCATAGGATGAATTGGAGGGTGAGAGATATTATTTCATACAATACTACTCTCACCCTCCAATTCCCAGCCAAAATGGCTAAAAATTGCCCGCAATGTGAACAATTGCGGGCAATTTTTAGCCATTTTGGCTTGGAACTAGAGCCTGCGAGGTACATGGATAGTATCAGTACCTCACAGGCTCTAGTTCTCTATATGGCGCCGAGAAATTTTGGTGAAATGTGGTCGCATTTCACCAAAATTTTTTCGGCGCCATAGGATGAATTGGAGGGTGAGAGATATTATTTCATACAATACTACTCTCACCCTCAATTTTAATTACTTAAACTCATTCTATTTTTTTGACATGTAAATGTCACTTTTACTGAGATCTGACACAATGTCAGATCTCTTTTTTTCGTATATAAGATTCCTTCTCCTTCTCTTTTTACAACAACGTCGAAGATCTTCGAATTTGATTGTTGGAAAAGCATCTATTTCAGATAAAGGATGCCTTTCTCACAGTCAACATACGAGGGTCCTGGCTGAAACGTTCTCAAAAAGCCTGAGATGGTAATTCTCTGATCACTCATAGCTGGGCAGGTAGTCATTGCTGACAATACCTGTCTTTATGCATGCACGCTTTCATGTATATGGGTTTACACTATCAATTTGCAAAGTTGTTCCGAATTCTTCCAAAATGGAAGGACCCGAAACAACTTTGCTTGTTAACGATACAGACGCATTACTTTGCATTGATACTGTGCTGAGTTGTGTAGAAAGTTTGATTAGAGTTGTTTTGTTCTGGTATCTCTCATCTTCTGATGAGAGAAATCAAAGCAACACAACTCTAATGAGTTTGTTTTCACTCATTTGTATGTAGGTTTTTAGTTCGATTGGAGCTGCTTCATAATGAGATCTCTCATCAATTGATGAGGGAGATCATAACAAAGCAGCTCTAATGTATATGCTCGTATTAACCGGGTTGTAATGCGTTGTAACGTCAGCTTGTAGTTCGTTTGGGGCCACTTCACATTGAGATGAGAAGAAATGATTAAAGGACTCTGAAAGGCTTTGGCCGTTGATGTTGTAATCGCATTACTTGGAACTAGCTGGATGCTAAGCTGTGTAGAATGTTCGATTAGAGCTGTTTTGATATGATTTTTCTCATCATAAGATTGGAGGAATCATAGCAAAACAACTCTAATGGGTTTACCATCATCTACTTGTATGTAGATGTTTGGGAAATTGTCTTGTTAATCGATTTTCGAGATGACTTTCAAATGCTATAATCAAATGACAAACAAGTCTAAGATTTCTCGACAATACATCAAATCATGATGTTTGTAAGTGCGATGAGATTAGAGTTTTTGAAGGAATGACAAGAGAAGTAGGGAAGCTCGACATTCGCCGAGCAAATTAAAAATTAACGTATGGATTAAATTTTAAGAGGAATTCAATTTTAATTACGGGTTGTTCAAATATTGATTAATATAAATTTATTAATAAGAATAAACAATTTTTGTTTTTGAATTTATTCAATTTATAGCTTTACATATAGGAGAAAGGGACAAACTATCCAGTGTCACTTTTCAAAGGAATAAAAAAATAATAAAGATGAAATAATAACATGAAATCTTATATAAATATAATTTTATCTAAATAGATAAATGAATTAAGCAGTTTACAGTTATATATATTTAATGAGAGACAATATCTAGTTCTATGGTAGAAATGACTCTTAGACTCAAATAAGTAACACAGATAGAAAGTACTCAGTATAACAATTATATATGTACACTCAAAGTTAGTCGCTGCTAAAATCTTAACCTTGCATTTCGGGAAAATCTGAGTAATGACTCTTAGACTCAAATAAGTAACACAGATAGAAAGTACTCAGTATAACAATTATATATGTACACTCAAAGTTAGTCGCTGCTAAAATCTTAACCTTGCATTTCGGGAAAATCTGAGTAATGACTCTTAGACTCAAATAAGTAACACAGATAGAAAGTACTCAGTATAACAATTATATATGTACACTCAAAGTTAGTCGCTGCTAAAATCTTAACCTTGCATTTCGGGAAAATCTGACTAATGACTCTTAGACTCAAATAAGTAACACAGATAGAAAGTACTCAGTATAACAATTATATATGTACACTCAAAGTTAGTCGCTGCTAAAATCTTAACCTTGCATTTCGGGAAAATCTGACTAATGGCTCTTAGACTTGTTTTGATAATTAATTCTTCAATTATATTATAATTTATAACAAATTTCCTCAAACTATCTGTATGTCATTCAATTCCCGGCCACTACATTCAATGATGGACCATTTCCTTCAAATTTTGAAATACCTTATTCAATTTGTTGTATGGAGCCCGTGATATTCAACACTATGGAGCTCCTCCAGTTTGGTATCCAAGAAGAGATAAAAGCTAGCATGGGCTACTCTCAAAAATGCAGGAAAGAATACTCCACGATCGAATACAAATGTAAGTATCCACAATGTCAAGCTAAATTCAAAGTCCGGATAATAGATCAAGATAAATATGAACTACTAATCCACTCTGACTCTCATGATCATTCTGCACCTCCGAAATCAACAAAAACAATATCCTCATTATTTGTCAGAAATTATCTTAAACATTACTTTGAAAACAATATGAATCATGCTACAGCTCAACTTAAGTGTTTCCAAGACTTAAATATTTCATATACAGACGAAGAGTTACTTTCAATATTTGCACAAGGTCCAGATGCATTACGTAAATTTGCTCAAAGAGCTGAAATTGTTTCCAAACGCTTTAGTTCGGATGAAAAAGTTTCTTTAGCTATCTTTGTCGAATCTGTTCAAGAAAGTTGTCCAGAAGATTTAATTGAATTTATCTCTGAGCCGGGAAAACTAGTTTTTTTATATGCACCTTTCGAAGCGAAGGCCCTTGGTCACCAAATTTCTACGTTTCACATCGATTCAACGTATAAACTTCTAAGGGCTAACATTCCATTATATGCACTCACAGGAAAAACAGAACATACTATTGTTTTTCCTTTTTTGTATTTCTTTATTTCTCCTGACACAAGCGAAAATATTCAATATTGTGTTTGTCGTTATTTTCAATATATTAATAGAGAACCCGAGATGATAAGTATGGACTGCGCCCCACAAATAGCCGAGGCAATTGAGCGAGGTATTCCAAACTGTCATATTCTTTGGTGTGGCGTGTAATAAACAGAAATTCATCAAAAGTGACAGCTCTCAATTTTTTGACATTTGTAAATTCTAAATTGAATGAGAAAAATGAAATAATACTAAGCATAATACAATATTCTAGATTTAATTATAATTAGGAAAAAGTTAGTTTTGAGAGTACTTTTCATAGGCATATAGAATGAAATCTTCTGAAAAATAATATCACATAAACTCATATTATTTTCTAATATATAACTATTTTATATAAAAATCAAATTCAATGATCTTAAAAGCGAAGGATAAACCTCAAAATTTACGAATATAATGAGTGGGAATATAATGCTTATCTATCATAAAACCATATGAAATATCAATTTTTGCTTTACG